ATCTTGATATTGCAAAATTGCTAACATGAGAAAACCCTTCAAGCATTTAGGAATACTGAATAGTGAGTACTGGTCGAGTTGAAGGATAATGCTCATCAATGCGAATATCCATAGCAGCATTTTCTCGGTAGCTATAATAGTATAGGATACCTATACATGGTACTGCGTAGTAGCAGCATTTCTTTTCTGTGAATCTTGAGATGCAAAATTGCTAACATGAGAAAGTCCTTCAAACATTTGGCAATGCTGAGTAATGACTCTACTGGTCGAGTTGAAGCATAATGGTCATCATTGTGAATCTCAATAGCAGACCTATTCATTGTACTGCGTTTGCATTATTAAAACATGCTTCAGAATTAGTATTTGGAAAAATCCTGAGATGCCAAAATGTAATAAACATGAGAAAACTGTCAACCATTTTGGTAATCTTAGTATTGGTTGAGTTAAGGCACAGCCGTAATCATATGTTAATAACCGCAGCAGCAATTTTTCTGTAGCTTTAACGGTATTAGAGAATACCGACATGGCCATTGACTCACTGTATATACGATATCTGTTTCTACAGGCAAAGTCTTTTCATGACTCTCTGGATAGAAGGATCTCTGTTCTTGAAAGCTTGAGACAAAGCGAAGCTCCTCAGCTTGCTGAGACAACTGATTAGCATCTGTCCTCCCGACATTGATACTCTCTGCTTGCTAATGATGTTTTTGAGTTGAGGTTTGCTCTTTTTTCGCGTTTATGAATAACTTGGAAGTTTTTGTATGACTACTGGTATAAAACAATGAAGTTAAGGTAGTCTACAAATGGACCGAAGCTTGATGTAACACTTGCCATGAAAACAAATTATGTTTCGATCTATTGTTTTTTGGATCTTGAGCCAGTAGAGAATCTTGTCCTCCACACAGATCCACTTTTATCTAGGCCACCTTCAAAGCTTGAATCTACAGGTAGCTTATGGTGAAGAAAAGCAAAGACCAATGACTATATCAAGAGCAATCTTTGGTATTTCAGGAATCAAGTATGGGGCGAACCAAGGAGCAGTGTCTTTTATATGGGCTCTTGATGGGTTACGAGTAAGACTCAATTCACAGAAGTTTCATATCTCTCAGACTCCCCACAGCCACATGTTTGGAATTAATGGTTTTGCATAAAAAAAAAATGTGAAGAGTCTTGCGGAATCAATTAGAGAACTTGACATTACCATCCTCCTCTAACCCCCAATCGTATACCAAAAACCTATGTTTTTACTTACACAGCTTTATACGTTTATGTGAGAAAAAACTTGCTTAAAAGTATGAGATTATGGGTTTATTTAGGGGAAAAAAATTAGTATATTATAAAGGTTTAAACCCAAACGAGCTTTAGACAAAGGTAACAAGAGTAACATGTTCTCTTTTTGATGTCAATTACGAAGATCATCTAGTTATACAATACTATCTCGCTTTAAGAAAACTAAATCTAATTTTCGCATAATTAAGGAAACACAATAAATAGGGAAAAGAAAGAAGGAATCATAATGGAAAGACATGTCGAGAGCACATGGTGTTTTTGGCTAGTGGCAGATTCCGATGT